GCATGTAAACAGACCGGACTGGAGATGGGGTTTCTGGGCTCCGATTAATGTCTGTATTTAAGTGAAGCACACTTTGAGGCAAAACTTGCTGAGCTCAGCTGGAGAGTCTCGACGTGCGAACTTGCCAACGCCAGCAGTTGTGGCCCCAGAAAATGATTATGTGTGCTGGTGGCGTTGTCAACACGCTCGAGGGTGCAGCATGTGGTCCCCACAAGGAGGATACCAGGATGCGAGGATACAAGGATGCGAGGACACATAGCTATCGGTGGCAAGTGTCCCCCACTTGTTCACCTTTGATTGAGCGGCGACGCCTTGAGCCGATTTCAGATAATTTCTGGCTTTTATTTTTCATTTGCCCAACGATCTCGCTTTCGTCAAAGCATTTACGAGACACATCCGTCACTTGTCGCAGCGTTCAGCGGGCGTTATCTGATTTCATTTCCGATTTTTTCCCATTTTTTTCTCCAAAGATTTTTTGGGTATTTCTGCGTGACATGCGATGCGCATGCAAATGCGAACTGGCGGTTTTTAAATGAGGCACGCAGACAGACAGATTTCGGCAGTGGGAGTGGGGGCTGGGTGGCACGGCGGTTCATCTTTGCAACATTTTCATGGGATTTTATGCTCATTGAAATGCGACATCGTTGGCGCTGTCTAACGAAGTTTTCCTAGAGCTGCCAAGAGTCGCAGTTTTTCACACATGATGGCCTAAAATGTCGCCGCGCTCACTTATCGTGCCTCATTGTGAGTCATGACCGCCTGTTTTTATAGTTTGCCCCGATTTGTATGCGTATTTGTATTTAAGCATTCATATGACCACATTAGCCTGCCGGAGGAAGGAGGGTAGGGGAAGAGAAAAGCAAAGGAAAAAATAATCATAAATTCCAAATGCGGCACTTATAATGCCAACTGAGTGATGAAATGGCTGGGCGGAGCGGAGGAAAGTGGGGAAAGGCAGACATTGTCGGCCATAAAAATGGCGACACACGACAAAAAACTTTGCCGCCCAAGAATACGAAAATCCTCGAGTCAAAGGCTGCTTTGAATTTATAAAAAAATATATGTATATCCCGAAATTGGCCCAATGACTTCGTTGCCTTTGACTACTTTTGGTTACTTTGTGCCTGTTCAAACATAACTTTCTGATTAAATGCCCAATATTTCTCTGACAAATTTAATTTCTGTTTAATTTGTCCTGGCAAATAGAGTGGCAAAGTGTCAGAGCAATTTGCTGCACAAATATTTAGCTCTGTTCACTCGCTCGGAGCCAAAGCGGAAACACTCAGCCAGCATAATCGATAGTTCAGCATATTTAAAGGAGCTCAAGCTGCGTCTCCAGCCACCCCCTCCCCCACCACCCCTCGCTCCGTTCGTCTAGACATTTGTGGGCCAAGTTGAGATGGTGCCCCGTCGAGTGCATCGACTGCCACTCAAGGCATCATTGCGATGTCAGTGCAACTTAACCTTAAGTGCCCGGGATCATGGACAATCCAAAGCTTCCTCGCTTCTCGTCAAGGAGTCTTGGCTTTCGAATCCGCTTCAAGCACACATGCTGATGTCGGGCTCGAATCGAAGTTAACTAGGCCAAAGACCAAGTTCTGTCAGCTTACAGAAAGGAAAGCACTGTCGGTTTAATATCTCTATTTGAAAATATTTTGCTCTTCCCTATATCAGCTTGATTGCCGTGTTTATTATCAATAACTATTGGCATCAAATCTGGCTAATAATTTTACCTGCATGGCGATTGTAATATTTGTTGTGCTATTCATTGGATATTAAGCTTTAGAATAGTTAATATTATAAAAGTCTTCTCCGTAAAACTATCATACGTGGTCGAAAGCAGCCTTTTCCCACTTTTTTTTTTGCTAAATATTTGCAGAAAGGAAATCAGTACTGGCATTTTTTAATAGGATAAAAACATAACATTATATATTTTTAAAAAATGTTTTTTGAGTAGTTTTTGTTTTTTTTGATGATTTCTTTTTGCTTATATTTCTTATGAATCACAAAAACGCTTTAAAATACTGTGTACCTTAACTAAATTTCACGCTCAATTAAGGCGGCCTTGATTTAACAGTTTGTCTATCGATCTCTGGCGATTTCGATTTATGGTCCAAGCCAATCGTCCCCATAAATATGCATATGTTATGCCACGCGAACCACACACAACCGCAAACATTTTCCACCACATTTGCTAATTTTCGGGTTGGAAAGTCGGCAAATATTTTTGGTCCTTTAACCGCAGCTCAGGGGCTCCGGGGTGACAGTTTTGAGGGGCCGGACCCATTGGCCACGCCATGCATCATGTTAATTTGCAGGCGCCGAGCTTTTTTGATTAAGCGCACGCTTAAAGCCAAAGCCAAAATCTGACAGCCGCCAGCTGCCGTTCGGCTGTTATCGATAGCCAAAGTGGGCCGAAATGACGGGGCAAACAAACTGGCTAACAGCAAATTGGAGGCTTCGACAAGTTGGGCTAGGCATTTCCCGGCAGCCGCATCGTTAATTTTCACAGCGTGAGCAAATTTCCATGCATAAACTTAAAATTAGCACAAGGTTCCCTCACGCCCACAAAATTGGGGGCTGGGCCAAAAATTTGTGTGAAAATCTTTTCAGGGCTGCCCATAAATTGCATGCTCGCTGATAAACAATAAATTAAGTTCTGTTTCAGCACCGACTTCCCTGTCCCACTCCCTTTCCCTCCACTCTGGCGTTGCGCGTTTTCCGCTCAGCGAATTTCCCACGCTTTTCCACGCTGTTTATGCGCCACGCACGCATACGTGCAACATTTCTAAGCTAATTTTCGCTCGCTTTTGATACCCTGCTACCTATCTCTGTGGATGCGGCAGCGGAGTAGAGTATTAGCGGGTACTTTGTCTTCCGCCTTTAAGGTTGGAAATCATTATTCATTAATAATTATCTTAAAAAACTATATAATTAATTTTGAACATTATAATATAATATTATTAAGAATTAGATTTAAATTTGCATTTAATGAAGATTTCCATTTTGATTACGAGAACGCTTATATCAAAAAAGTATAAATAAATTTATGATTAGCACGAAAAACTAAACAAAATACAAGTTTTATGTAGGTATTTAAAATGTATAAATCGGTGCTGTAATTTTATTAGTTTCCTATAATTCCATCAAGACAACATGCAAGTTAATTCTAATTTTTTGAATGAAAATTATCATCATTTAAGTGGGAGCATATAGGTATCTAAATATTTTAATTACTTCTTTCGTAAGATCATAAGTACCTTGAAAACTTAATAACCTAAACAGGAAAAGCACAGCCGATTGTAAAAACAAAAGCCAAAATTAAAATCTGCTTTTGTTTATAAACTTTCCTCACATAACATTATGTTTTTTTTACAAAAGAGCAACTCCGCTTCGATTAACGAACAAAACTTTTTCCCGATGGTTATTATCTATGCCGAAATGTTTTGCATATTGCCCGAAGATGGAAAGCCGCACGTACGAAAATGTTGCGGGTGCGCATTAAATTTAACTTTGTGTTCGAAATTTCTCAAAAAGTAAATCGTAAAATTTGTCATGTCCCGACAGCCAGCGAACCACCCAAACCAAGTCCAACCACTGTCGATGCGGTGGAGTCGATTCATGTTTTCACGTTGGTACGCATGTGAAAAGTTTGCGTATGTCTTCCAGCTGCTTCGGTGAAAGTGGTTGTGCGTGTGGCCGTGGGTGTGTGCGTGTGTGCGTGTGTGCGTGCCCTGGCGAAAGTTTTCACTTCTTTTTCTTGCGCGCGTGCGGAAACGGAAATGTGCAACAGCAGTTTTCCTCCGACTCGGGGCGATGGATGGGGGTCCTTGCTTGATTCCTGGTTGCTAGTTCAGCCCGGAGTTCGATAAACCGACGCCAGCAGCAGGAGTTCGACTCGTATCGCCTCATTCAATTATTCGTATTCCAGTTGGCTGCATGCGATCTGCGACGATTTATACTGGGCTTTGATGTGCAAAAGTTTGGCCGGCTTTTCCTTTGAGCCCCATCTGCCTCCGCGTTGCGTATTGATGAACTTAGTTCAACCGTTTCCTGGCGCCCAAGCCGCTATCTAACTTGGCTTTTAGTAGTGGACTGCAGGACACAACTTTTGTCCAGCTTTGACATATTTAGTGGGCCAACTTTTCCGTGGCCATAAACTTGCCAAAGTGTGCTGATGTCCGGAAAACATTTTTACCATCATAATTAGCATCTTTTCGATTGGCGAAGAACAAAGGGGCACATAATTGCGCTTATATTTTGTCCGATAACTTAAGAAAAATGGTCTTCTGATTTCGTAGTCACCAAAATAAAAGAAAAAGTTTTGTTTTGATCCTCAAATAAGGCTGGAAATTTCTACTTTTATGAAAGACTCAATTTTTTATCGTTACCCACTTTAAAGATATATTGTATATATTTTTATTCAAACCTTTCTGTGCAAATCTCACTAAACTAAACTTTAATAAAGTTTGCAATATTATCCATATTTCTTTGGGATCCGTAACTTTTGTTTGCCTGTCTGCGGTAAAGTACTGGACATTATTGCTCACTCGTATGAGCTAGGTTTTTAAGTATTTTTAAGTTTAAGTCCCCATAGCACTTTACTACCCTATACATTACCCCGCTTCGCCCCAATATCAAAAGCTCACGCACCAGCAAACAAATGCCGAAAGAAATAAAAAAGAAAGTATAATTGTTTGTTGAGGATTTTTTGGTGGCATACACAAACTCGTATGTATCCCTCTGAGCGTTCATTTATTTGTTTTTCTGCTTCGTTTTTGAGCAGAATTTTTATGCGTATTTTATTACATTTCAGTTTCAGTTAGGGCTTTGGCAGCCACGAGGCCCGGGGCATTTGAATGCCCCGCTAAAACCAACAATACGTTGCTACGTATGTGCAAATGAAAATGAAAATAAATTTCCATTTGGCACAAGTTTTTATGCCGCTGCTTTCGCACCATTCCGCTGACCTCCGTCCCCATTTGTTTTTATATTTCTAGGCTACAGCGCAGCACTGGCGCCCACGCCGCCCACAACGACGACAACAACAATCTCGCCCTCGAATCTGCTGCCCTACTTCGACTTTGATGTGCCGCGCAACTTGACCGTAACCGTCGGCCAGACCGGCTTCCTCCACTGCCGTGTGGAGCGGCTCGGCGATAAGGACGTAAGTAGAAAGTTTGAAAAAATATCGCAGAATCGGAGGCTGTTTCGGGAGGACCGCACTTTAAATACCCTTTCTTTAGAGTTCCAGAAACCTGCTCTTAAATTTGTTTACTAATATTCATTAAAGTTATAAAGACAGATACAATAACTACTCAATTGTACGCTCAAATTCTAAAATGTTTGCTGAAATAATTTAAAGCTAACATTAATAGGCTAAAAGACAAAATCAACACAGTGTGAAAGAACTAAAAAGTCTGTTATTCCTAATTGTTCAGATTTTTGAATAATTAGTACTTTAATAAAAGCCGTAAAGCAGTCCAAATTTGTATTTTAATTTTTACAATGCAAGGTTCACTAAGCATGGTGTTAATGTTGAAATAATTTATGTAAAATGCATTTAAATTAATTATACTGTATGTAATTAAAAGTAATCAAATGCAAATATTAAGTACAGCCTTTATTAATGAAATGGTACAAATTGATTAACACATGCCTAAGGCATACAAGGGAAAAAAAAAACTTTTTCAACGATCAATTGGAATACATACTGGTTAGCGTTGCATAAACGCCTAAAAGGCAGGGTACGAAAGTCAATGGCTTAACATATGGAAATTGTGCAAAATAAATGAAAATTCCGCTTGGGATTTGCAGGCACTCAATCATTCCGTCCGTGATTGCCAAACCATTGGGGTCCGGTTCGTTTCGTCTCGGACTAGTCGAAAGCCAAATGATTGAAGGTCGCAGTGGGTTGTTAACCCCTTGCCAAATATGGCCCGTACGCAAACGAGGGGCGGGTGGGCGTGACAGCGTGGGCCTGGTCCTAATATGTCAACTTCACTGGCACATTAGGTGGGCGACCAGCTCGCATCTCTTAGCCAGGATTAGCCCTTTGGCCAGCAGGCGGATCCTCACAGTGGACCAAAGAGTGGTGACAGATAGTCCAATCATTCAAAATTCAGGCACAACGACGGGTCCTTGAACCAGTGTGCATTAGCAGCCAGGACTCGTGCTGTTATTAAATGGCTTGCCATAGAAAAAGGGAAGTGCGGAGGGAGAATTAGGGCTAAGCAAGGGTATACGGGGGGCCTAGCCCAAATTACCGGGTGATTTTGAGGCTGCACTCGAGGCTGGGAGAAAAATGGCCAAACAAGACGGGCGACAACAGAGCAACGTCCTGTGGGAGTTGGCATCCTTAACGAGTGCCCCCGCCCACTACCCGCTCCCAAATACACACACACACTCTAAAATAGACTGCTGCTCTGGCAAAATGACTAATTTATGAGCCATCAATCACGTGACTGGCTCAGCCATCAGCCTCGTGCGCCCCGTGTTATCAGCTTTAATTTGCCCGCTTTAGGGTGCCCGTCGGGGGAGGTGAAGGAGACGGGGGCGGGAAAGCCTGGGCCGGAAACCGGAAGTTGTGCGCCTTGAAGGAAGCAGCCAAAGTGCAGGCACGAACCGAGACAGGAAAAGGAAGAGCAACTAGGACAGGAGTTGCTCCGCCGCCCACAGACAACATCATCAGCGCGCGGACTCAAGTTTACCCATTTAATTCGAGCTCTCATCGGGAAAGTTCATTAAAAGCATTGAAACTACATTAAACAAATGACATGCAAACAACGAAAGCCAAGCAAAATCCATGTCCTTGAGCCTTAATTACTTGCCCAGAACCAGGAGTGAGGAACTCCCGATCCCCCCGAGACCCAGTCCAGTATTTGTCATCGCCCTTTCAGTTGCCACCTTTCGGTTGCTGTTGTTGCTGCTGCTGCTGTTGGGCTTGATGTTGCTGCTGTGACTGATGTTGCTGCTGTGACTGGTTTTGCTGCTGAGGCTGCTGCTCGGCTTGTTTGTCGCTCTCGCGGGCACTTGCGTCAGCAATCGATTCCACGGTGGCAGCCACCACTGCGGCGAGAACTTCGCTCTCCAGCCGTGTGCCCCATTTGTGGGCCAACTTGTCGTCAACTTCCTCCTCGCTGGAGCTGATCACGATGACCGGTGAGCGGCTGGGCATGGGCCCTTCCATCTGATCGTGGTGGGTGAACAACGAGGCTGTCGTCGAGGCCGTCTCCGCGTGAAATGGGCTCAGAAAGCGGCTTGGATTGGGAAAGGGCCGTCGGTTCTCAAGGATAAGCTTTATGTCCCGCGCAGACTGCCACCAGCTATGGGGACGAAAAACAACAGATTTTTCTTGAAATTCAACTAAATATGAATTTATTTTTAAATAACTTGGCAATTATGTAAGCAATTTTCTAAAAACTATTATAAATTAAGGTTTTTTTAATTTAACTCAATAACAATTTATTTTTAAATTACGTAACAATTTTGTTGTGAATTTTCTAAAAAAAAATTTTTAAATAACCACTTTTGCATCTTTTTGGGTTAAGATGCTTAAACCTATGTTTTTTCAAACATGATCTAATAATTAAAATCTCTAAGTTAAATTTGAAAGCTTAAAATTATAAAGGTGCCTTTTAAATTAAGCTTTTAAGTATTAACCCATAATAAAATAAATATTTTGAAATACAAATTGAGAACTTTGATTATACACAATTTTTGTTAAGTTTAGTTTAATTTTGTTTTTGTTAAATGATTAATCTAATGTCCAAAATGGTATATAATAGCGATATCTTACCGATACCAGGGCGTCAACTGGGACTTGATCAGCATGTATATGTTGGCAAAGTAAACGGTAATCTGAGGGCGGGCACATTAGACATGAGTAAGCGGAAGTACGAACACCTGCCCCACCGTCATGAACAAAAAGAACAGCATCCAGGACTTGGTCCAGAGCTTGCTCAATCCCCAGGAGTGGGTGTGCAGGGCGTAGTACTGGATGCCCACCAGCAGGGTGCCGATGATGCCGAAGGCCACCAGGGTGAGCAGCGAGAACATCTGGCAGTCCTCCTGCAACGCCCTGCGACTCATGGCCCGCGAATACCACAGGCGCAGCGACTGCAGACAGGTGTACCTGCAACGGAAGCTGGAGAAGTGCACATCCCGCCCAACAAAACGACAAAACAACAACGCAACAAAGCCAAAGCCGGTCTAACAATTAGGAGGAGCCGCTGCCACAGAAACAGGAGCAGACACAGAATCAGCCACAAAGCCTGCGCCAACTCAGCTGATTAAAAAGATCTGAGCCGCAGGCGCTTTTCATCTGCTGCCGCTTCGAATGGCACCTGCCAACTGACTTTGGCCGAAAGCCACATGCTAACTACACTCAGAAAAAAGTCACCTCAAAAATCGGGATAAGCTGTCGATTTCTGGAAAACTGAAAAGGTGTTACACCACCAATAATGAATTGTTTTCTCGTATTAACGGCAAACTTAAAGTTCATCTTAAGCTTACTGTAAAATATTCATAAGTTTTAGCAGTTTAAAAATTACGTTTAGCTTCAAATAATGACGAAAACAATTGATTTAAAAGCTTTTTCATGAAGATACTCAAATATCTATTATATTCTGCTTTAATTCGGATCAGACATTTTGTAGGTTTTGTTTTAAATTAAAGTTTACGATCATTTATGAGGAAAATGGCAGGGTACAATTATTACAAAAGAATTTTGGAAATACCCAATGAGAGACAATAGTTGTTCGCTTGCTTAATAAGAAATCAAAATATCCGTCATTTCTTGTATTTTTTCAACAATTATTTCTATTATATAAGACACGCTATATTGTTGAAATAACGTTTTTTCGAAAACTGTAACTCATATATTAGAACCTTAGGAGTGGTGTAACCCCTTAAGCTTATAGTAAATTATATAGGATTGATAGGGAATTTTAAAACCTTTTCCGAGTGTGGTCTTGAACTTACCGCAGCGTCTGCTCCGTGTTGTACTGGAACTGGCACAGCTCGCAGGTGGTGCAGCGCGAGGTGCTAATCCAACGCTCCAGGCAGTGCACATGGACATATGTCAGCGAGCCCTTGCACAAACAGGGCGACACAAGTCTGCAAACAAATCGGAGCGGAAGAGGCGGAAGTTTCAGTGGGGCGAGTGGGTGGATAAACAGCGGCAACAATGAAAAATCAGGGGATTAAAACGACAGCCAACCAGATAATCAGGGATGACGTGCTCGTTGGGGAAAGTGGGCGAATCACAAAACGGTGACTGGAACGGGTTGCCTGCAGTGTTAATTTTAATAATTAAAATAAATAAATGCATTCGCTAGCGGGCCCTGCACTAAATACATTAAATGCCAGGCCATTAATTTCTTGCACAATTTGCGGCTGCACGTACGTAATTAAATGGAAGTTACAGCACCCTGCAAACGTAGATTAAAATCGGGGCATACTGACTGTTGATTGCGTATTATCTAACGCAAATTCTGATCATAGGAAAAACTCTTTTAAAAAGTTTATTTTGTGACTTTTTAAAACTTTGGAAAGGAATTATGCATATAATCGAACTTAGCTAAGTTTTTTTGTTAGTATGACTTGCAGGATAACTGAAATTCATCATCCCCTGATTTATTATGTCACCTGAAATTTTACTCACTGTTCGGGATTATCGGCGTTGTGACAAATGCGACAGACCAGCGATCCCACAGAGGGCACCGATTCGTTGGAAATGGATTCGTAGCCCAGGTTGTTGCACTGAGTGGTTTCATCGATGCAGTGCCGCAGTGTGGCAATGGACTCGGTGGCTGTGGGTATGGGTGCAGAAACGGGGGCGACACAGACGGCGGCGACCGAAGCGGCCTCGGTGCTGACCAGTGGATGACAGGGGTGCGGCACTTTCTGGAACTGGACATTTGGTTTGAGACCCAGGGAAACGGAGCAGGCCGGCAGTTCGTGAGCCTCCACATCCGTTGTGGTGGCGTCCTTCTCAAAGGACTGAAGGGGCTGCAGCTTCTCCCAGCAACTGATGCGCGTCTCCACCACGATCATTCCCGGTGGAGTGTCGTCGGCACTGCTGGAGGACAGAGCCTCCTCAATCTCCATCTCCAGGGTGGTATCCGGCTTGAGGTCCACGGGGTTCCTAGTCGGATCGAGCCTGTGATCGCCGGCATTGCTGGTGGTGTCTGGGGGAAGGAATTAGGATGTCATTTGAGCTCTAGACGAGATGCCAGGAACCCCATAAACCAACCACACTTTTCGCACTCCATTCTTTAATCTGTTTGACGATTTTTGGCCAGTTGGATACCGAAATTAACCAAAAATTTTAATACATCTTCTGTGTAAAATTAAGGTTGCTTTTGCTTTCCTTTTGTTTCGGGTGGAAATATTAGTTTAGGTTATTCGTACTGTCGTATATATCAAGGAATACTTGCTTTTATACAGATATATGATCAAAAACCTACACTTCTGTTCTATATATTTAAGGCAATACCATAATTCTGGTAGCTTAATATCGTATAGATATTTTATAGAATTTATGTATTTATTATCAAGTGCAACTGTTGGCCATTTAAAAAGTTTTATATTTGTTTACTGTATGTTTAATATGATCTAATCGCTGTTTCCTGCAGTTTCGAGAAACTCTTTTTAAAGAGCTGTGTTTTCTTAATGATATGCCATGTTAAGATATTCCCAACCATATTGTTTTATCGATTTTTTCTATTTTTTCGATGGGAAGGTGCATGGCTTAAAGGAGGCAGTTCAGCATGCGCTGGCTGGAAAACAAACTTGTCCCGCAGCCAAGTCGCCCACATTAATTGTAATTGACAGACTGGAACCGCGCTGTCAGTGCCCACGCGAAAACCGGCTTCTACGGGCATCCCGCCCCAAGTCCTTCGCTTCCAGCTCCGCCCCCCACCTCCGCCCCTGCTGCATCCATAAACTCAAAATTGAAAGTGTAACAGTTACGGCAAATAACTTTGCCGGCGCTTGGCTTCCATTATGCGCCACTCCACGCGGAGCAGGCCTCCTCGGGTAATTTATGCCCGTGCCGTTAGTTCGTTAGCCGTGAGTTTTCCGGGTGGGGGGTTGTTGTGGACCGAGGGATGGGTGCCATTTCCATATCAGCTGACACTGTCAGTGGAGCTCGGCTTTCGCTGCGTGCTTTTTTGATACTCTTTCAGAGGGTATTGTTTCTCCAAATTAAATGAAAAACCCATTACTTCCTGAGCAATCTCTACAACTACCTAAGTTCAAAAATAAATTTCCTTTAAACATTTTTTAAAAGTCTTTTATTTAAATGTATAAGTTCTTTTTTAAAAGGTAGTTGTAAAAAATGTAACATTTAAAGCTAAGATAATTCATTCAATGTGTAGACTTCTGTGAATGAAAACGTCAATAAAAGCAAAACCGATGAAAGGTAATTAGATCATTCTTTATATAGAATTTAGATTTAATTTAACAGAATCTTGTTAATAAATTATTAACCAATGTTAAATGCTTTTCCATGTCGATTATCAAATTAAGATGCCTATTGATTTAAGTACCCCTTATTACTCAAAAAGGCAATTAAATCGAATGATTGGCCGGCCAGGGTATGTTAATCTTCGGTCCCCGAAGCCAACCTTCTGTTCTTGTTTTCGACTGCCCTTGCCGGAAGCTGGCGTTGAATCCGCTTGTTCAACTTGACTTCACAGGATTGTCCGTTCACTGTTGATTTATTACGCGCCGAGTGGCGCAACGTTTCCATAAACGCTCAACGGCTACATCGGCGAACATGAGCACAAGCAATTTACTCGTGTAATACCAGCGGCATCAACGGCAAGTGAGGCGGCTGGAAAAAAGTATATTAAACAAAGTTTTAGGCTTTGTGAAAAGGCAGCGAACCCTTTTTAATGCCGACAGGACAACCTTCGTTGCCAGAAACGGTGGCCGGGAAAAAAAATAAATCGAAATCTGTTTACAACTTTGTTTACAAAATGCTGCCATTGAAGTCTTTATTTGCCCATTGTCAAGTCCGAGACGCGGTTGACTCGCAGGAAAAACAATTTAATTTGGATCGCAAGTTCATTAGGCAAAGCCCCACTAAATTGCGAATCGGAACCGCTTTTCGCAGCGCCTAATGGAACTTTTCACACCATTTCCTAAGCTCGGACAAAGCCAGTGGCAACAAACTAACAACTGCAACTGCAACTATTTTTGGCTCTGTCGGTGCTTGGCCAAGTTTAAAGTCTCTCTTGGTTAGAGACGCAGAAAATGCGTCAGAAAAGTTTTTAATGTATTTTCGCCAAGTTTTCCACACGCTCGCACAAACACGAACCCACACACACACACACACACACTCACTGGCAACCTCAGCTGAAACTTCTTTCATTTGGCATTTTGCTGTGAGATGACAGAAAAACAAAGAGAAAGTAAGAGTTAAAGGGGGCGTGTGAGTGGGCGTGGCCGTGGTGCAAGTGGAGCAGGCAGAGTGAAAGTTTCTGGCCGCAGCGAACACAAAGTGTTAAATAATATAAAACTATGCTTGCGGTATTTATTTAAACCTAAAGACATTACGAAAATTATACCCCGAGCAAAGTTTCAGCACTCATGGGACAGAAACCTGTCCCTCGCCAGTGAAATCCAACGTGCGGCAGAGATTGGGACAACTTCTTGACAGGGGATCTGGCTGAGAGCCGGGCTTTAGTTTGGCCGGAGTTGTTAAACTTTTCACTTTTGATTTTCGCCTTTTCCAGCAGAGAAATTAAATATTTAAGTCTGGCCTGGAATATCTAATTGAGCGACTTCGAATCGGATGAAAAGCTTACTGCTGTGTAAAAGAAACCATTTCGATAGTTATTTAGTAGTATGTAGTAGCTTGTGCCGCCTGTCGCGTTTACAGTTCATTTCGAACTCGATTTACGGCGTGCAGAAACGCAATTGCCTTGCTCCATGGTATTACTCATACGCACTGTGAGCCGCCGACAATATCGAACGGGTAAATCGCCGCCAAAGCTGCCGAGATTTGACCTTTCCCCCCGCCTCCCCCCGCCGAGCGGTTTAATTTACATTTGGCCGAGACAATTCGCTTACGATCCTGAGGGGCGTAAAAGCGGCAGGCGCATAAAAGTTTTACAAGCGAATGATTTTTATTTTTACGTTCTACGTGACCAGTTTCGTTCGGCAGTGTGTCGAATTCGGCTCAAATCGAATGAATTTATTAGATGGCCAATAGTTGGCTGGCCTAAATAGTGGAATGGCCAACTCCACTGGGAAGCCCACGGGGCCAAGCAATTAAATTTATTAATGAGCTGGCATATTTTCAACTTTAATGTTGACAGTCGGCAAACATTTAAAGTTTCCTGCAGTAGTGTGGGAGCGAAGCAAGAGGAGCAAAACTTTTTCCATGTAATTAAAATTGAGTATCACAATGGCCGGGAACAACAACAACTAAGGTCATCAAATAAATTGGAAACAATGTGCCAAAAAGGGCACAAAGTGTGTGGGCGTCGGGCTCGCAAGAAATCACGGGCCGTTCGGGCAGGGAGACACAGAAAATCATGGTTAATGGCTTTCCCCAAAAGATTTTCCAGCTAAGGACGAAGGCCAATGCGAAGGAAAGGGCACTAGGCAATCAAATGAAAATGTAATTCAAGCAATAATAAAAATGCTCCCAAATAAAGGCTGAAAATGGCGTCAAAGCTGTCTCATTGCTTGCCGTTTTCCTTTTTCATCGGTTCGAAAAGGATTGAAGGCTATTTGAAACAATTGGAAATCGCGCTGAGCAAGCAGCTTTGACAAAATTGAACCGACCCACTGACAGACTGACCTTACGACCAGTCTGGCTTAAAGAGTTTGCAATTGTCAAGGGCCATTTGTATGGGCATCTTTCATTTCCTAGCGACGTGGCGTATACGCAATGTTGTCCTTTTCACGCTCAAATGTACTCGGCTTAAGCTCGCCAACTTTCTGTTGTATTTCAGCTGTGCTTTGTTTGTTTGCTGATTAAATGCCAGTAACGAAAAGCAAAATGCTAAAGATTAACCAACGCCGGAACACGAAAAAATAAAAGGAAAGTAAACTTTGCGCTTTGTTTTTCATTTTGCCACCTCATCCCAACTCCTGGGAGTGTTGGAAGCAGCAGACAAAACACGTTTAACTCACTTGCGAGAAAAAAGTTTTAAGTGCGGAATTTGTAATGCTCCCGAAACTTTGCCAAGCGGCAAGCGGTCCCACATCCAACTGAGAAAAGCACTTCATTCCGATCCCTTGTTTTCGTTGTAGGTCTCCTGGATACGCAAACGTGATCTGCATATCCTCACCGCCGGCAGCACCACCTACACATCCGATCAGCGTTTTCAGGTGAGTGCGGACCCCCCTCCCCACATCCCGTTTCCGGGTGGAGACTCAAAGTTTTCCGCCCTTTCGCCGCAGGTTCTGCGACCCGATGGCTCCGCCAATTGGACCCTGCAAATCAAGTATCCACAGCCACGTGACTCCGGCGTCTACGAGTGCCAAATCAACACGGAGCCCAAGATGTCCCTGTCGTACACTTTCAACGTTGTGGGTGAGTTATGGCCACAATTCTCTAACTAACGTTCTGTTGACCAGAGTAAACAACTAAATTTCGTTTGACCATTTGACCATACTTAACATACAAACAGATTCATTGCTCGCTAAAAAATGTATTAAATTTAAATGACAATGCTTTAAATAAGAAGTTTTAAATTAGTTTATTCAAAATATAGTTTGTTTTTCCACAAATGCACTTTGAGCTTTAAACAAAATTTTGCTTTAATTTTCAAAACGAAAAGTTTAATGTTTTTATTTTGTTTTTTTGGTTAGGTTGCATACCTAAATTAAAAAAGTGTGCTACTTTTTCAGTAACCCTCGTAAAACTAGATTGACTTAAAGCAGGGGTGAATTTGGACTAAAATGTTGGGGGAACTCTGCTACACAGGGGTACAACTTTTTGCATTACGATGGAATTTATAGAAATAGTGAAATTATTTAATTGTTTTTTGAGGAAAGAGAACTAGTTTCACCCCTGCACTCGCAACGGACTTATAGAGATTTCGAGTGTAAGCTCGACTGTGGTTTTTCAAAGTAAACAGGTTGGGTTCGACAGTCGTTATTTTTGATTTATTCCTGAAAATGTTGGTATTTCTTAGATAAACGCAACAGTTTGGACTATAACATAACCATAATAGCTGACTCATACCTGAGCCTGAGGCTTGTAATCAAAAGTTCGAGCATTATCCGGCACTGCAAAGTAGGCCAATCGAAATGAAGGAGGCGGAAAAGGAGGCTGGCTGAGAACTGGTCACAAACCACTGAAGTGATTACTTTTATGGGCTAAGCTCTTAAAGCTTGCCGGCAGTTTTGAGCAAGCTATGCAGGTTTCAGGAGCTTAAGCAAGCCATACAATATGCATGTTATTTTCTCAATCCCTCCGCCCGGAACATGTGAGCCCAGTTGGCAGCCATTTCGGCCACCCGTCGAGCTGCCTTCTTCTGCTGCTCGTGATTATAAAATTTTCAATTCGATTATGTGCAAATTGGCTTGCTGAGCAGCAGAAGTTGAGGGTTAAACGTGAGCCAGTGCTTACCTCTTTGTCTTGGCAATTGGCCGGGTAATTAGTTTGCACTTGGTTCGGCAGGGCCAGGACCCTTGTCACACATCAGCAGTTGAGCCCGGATGGATGGCTGGGCCTCGAGTCCTGAAAGACGTTATCCTTGGGAGCACACACCGCACTCACCCAACGTTTGGAACACGCTTGTTTGTGGATTTTCGGTTTCGTTCCTGTTCGGTGCATTTTTATCGCATTTGATATTAGCAAAATGCATTTGGCTAAAAGCTTCTGGTGCGGAAGAGTGCCCTCAATGAGCTTATTTGATCTCTGATTTCCCCACAACATGTTTGCCTAGTGTGTGCGATGTTGTTTTAGCCACACGGACAAACGACTTTTGGCCAGTATAAAATGCTCTGGTCAGCCCCCGGACCGACTCGGTTATGAATCTTTTAGTGCGCCCAGGAATATGGACGAGAGCTTTGAATATAAGTTTACACGCATGCCAGGGCTGGGATCCGGCAACTTGACAGGCTGACAAGTCAGCTTCAAACACTCACCGAGTCGGGGAGACAGACACATAGAGTCATAAATATTACATTTGCGGAAATGCAAATGACTGCGAAACGGCTGCATATAGCCCGGCCACGCCCACATTAGTGGGCGGTTATAACTCCCAGGCTGGCTGGAACTCATTTGAATGCCCAAAAAGAAATGTGCATATAAAATATTCGACATGCCACTCACGCGGAAACAGCAAACAGCAGGTCAGTGGAGACAGTGGTGTAAGAACCACAAAAACCATAGTTTTAGCACTTTAAAATGCCGTTGGGCTGGTACAAATCAAAGGGTAAAGGCAAATAAACTATATTTAATAGTACCAGTACAAACATTTTATAGAAATCACTAAAACAATAGTCAAATATGTCATGTTTATAAAAGAGCAAACATTTGAACGCTTTTGTTCGGCCCTCATTTTCAGTCGCTCAATTGTGACTCCACTGTGCTGGGTATGCCGTCATTGTCGTTGCAAACAAGTTTGTTGTTATGCCAGAATTTTTATGCGCTTATGCAAATAAAAAATTGTGCACTAAAAATTCCATAAATTTGTGTTTTTTCTTCCACTGCTGCTGTTATTTTTCCAAGCCAGTGAAAATTCTATTACACGCCAGCCAGCCAGGCAAAAAAAGGAAGAGGGGCGAGATAAAAGCAGAGGGCGCGGCAAGTGATAAACAAAACAGCGCCAAGTTGACCAAAGCATCATAAACATAAATCGCCTTCAGTCTGGGCCGACTTTTCCGCCTTTTCCGTAGCACCACCCAACGCCTTCCGCCTTGGCCGCAATATTTTTGACATTTTAATGCTGCAGCAGCCGCTCCAATTGCTTAAATTACCAACTTTATGTACTCGACTCGACTCTAGAAAAACGAAGAAAGGTACTGCCAACTAGGTGTCGGCAGTGGAAGCATGTTTATGCACATAGATAACTTCAGACGACTCCAAGTTGTCGCCCCTACTCGATTTAATTTTGAATTTAAGGCAAATTACCAAACACGCTGATAAAGCGAGCAAATTGTAAATTAAATTATGTGTCCCTGTCCCACTCAAACTGAGCGACAACAAGAGAGCAGAACAGGACCCAACTGACAGCCCAAGGACGAGGAGCAGGATAAGTGCTGGGGCGAACAAAAATAAATCGGGAAAGCCAGCTAACAGCAGAAAGTCGAATACACTTGCAGGTGTTTCACAAACCGGCTTGCTAATATTCTTTGTATAAACTACAACTTCATTTATTCCTTTACAAAAGCTTAAAAACTATTACAATTCTTTTAAAGTAAGCCGTTCTTTTCTCTTTAAATAAATAATTGAAACTTTACGTTAATGAATAGTGCTCAAAAACGTTAAGAAGATAATTTCTTTTGAATGAAACCAATAGTACCTAAGATTCGGCTGCACAAAACATCCACTTTTCAGGTAAAGTTAAGTTCACAGTTGAACGAAAATTTCGAAGAAATCATGTTACCCCATTTTAAGGGTATAATAAGAAAGGTGTTGTTGATGCTTCTGGAAAAATTTGTTTACCAGCGCGAATGTAATCAAGCGTAAGCGCTACCTTGCTTAGTGAAAAGTGGGAGAAAGAGGGAAAGGTGGGTGGAAAACAAATTGCACAGCCAGCGGAAGAGCTGCAGCCAGCCGAAGGATCTGGGAGTCGGAATTGAAGGCAATTTGAATGCGTAGCTGACAAGATGGCGATGCCGAGTAGATGGCTCATTTTGGGCTCCATAAACCAACACTTTAGCTGGGAGATGCTGTTGACATTAGCAGCCAGAAAATTGCATGCAATCAAGCGCAAATAATAATCCACTGCCAAAGCAAGCCAAGAGCAATAAATAGCTCCGCGCTGCAGGACTTTATCCTTTTGAGGGTGCTGTGCAGAATGTCTCGTTTGAAGTACACAACTATAAGCATCGAGAAATCATATATACAAAATATTCGATAAAGCTACCGTATAGGAAAATGAATTTTAGCTTTAATTTGATGAGCAATAATAACAAGATTTCAAGTACACTTAAATTTTGATCAAGTTATTAAATCCGTAAACCGAATCTCGTATTTTACCCTTACAAAGTCCCCGCTGTTACAGAGTTTAATTTTAATTACTTTTAGCTCCATTTAAAATTTAACAAATCGTTCAATGGCGAGCCATGAAAATACGCCAAGTTTTGAGACTGAAGCTTTGTACGACTTAACCGATAATAACTTCCACTGGGACACTTTCTTGAGAAGTGCTGCTTCACTTTCCCCTTGAGTAGCACTAAATTAGTTTTAGCTCGGGGAGTTTTCCTTGGCAGCTTGAATGGAAAAATAATTGTGTGCCACAAAAATCCATTAACGTGGCCTTGCCAAAACAAAAACGAACTTGTTTTTAACGAGAATTGTGTGCAATATTCCAGAGCAGTTGGCGAAGTTCGCCTTCAAATTCGCCATCCAAACGTCAATTGTTTTCCGAGGTTAATAGATGAAAACCGGGAAAAGGTTGGCAATTATGATGCACATTGAATGCTCAAAAAGCGAACACTTGATCCAGCTTAAAAGTTAAGCGATTCTCATTGTCTTGCCAACAGCAATTTGTTGGTGCACTTGTTTGTGCCTGACCCAATTCGCATGCAAATTGTACGTGAGCCAAAGTTTACCTTTGCTTAATATATACAGCCCACAGCAGGTTGTTTCAAACATGGCCAGAGATAGGAAACTCCCAGCAGTTTGTGGGAGCGAATGAGCGAAGGAGATAATGAATTTTTATAAATAAGTTGCAAGGACGAGGACGAAAACGAGAGCGAGAGGAAGGACTCAACTAAGCTGGGTCCCACAATTTGCCCAGCAATCAAATGTTTTACTTCCCATTTCGTTCATTTGCTGCTCAAATTACATTCTACGGCGGATGCCTAGGCAAAAAAATTCCCCAATGATAAATTACTTAGATATTGCCGAGAAATGGGATAGAGGAGCTGGAAGGGAATGATTAATGTCTCTGCAGCAATGTCGAATTATTAATAATAATAATAATCACAACAATGGGGACTACTGAAAAGACCTAAACGGGACTAGGGCAATGATGATGTTTTGGCATTTTCATTTCGCCATTGTTGGGTTGTGGGAAGCTGGACGATTCTAGGCTCCTGACAGGCAAATAGAAGGAGCAGGGGCGAATACTTCATCAATTGTGCTGGCAATGCGGCTGACTTTTACAAATTGAATTTGTTTATTTGATTTGACAATTAATTCCGAGCAATTGCACGTCCACGTCCGATTAATTGTCGACCCAAATTTAAAGAGGCACGGAGCTTAAAGATAATGCCTGTTTCGGCACGGCCCAGTTTGATATTGTTTTTCGGGCAATAAATACCGAGATGTTGTTACATGTGTGCAAACATGCATCAACACAGGCGGGGGGTAATAAATTTTTACGGCCCGGCTCCGCAACGAGCATAAGGATGCCGGAGCCCCAGTCTGCGCTGCACTGGCCCCAAAAAGTATGCCATGTTTTGTGCCCGGCCCTCTGCAAAGTTCATCGCTCCAAATGTTTATGGCCATATAGGCTTATGCGCATTTTATGCGCGAAATCAAGAAAAATGAAAATGCATTTCCCAACCCGACTACCTCACCCCGCCACCGCTATACCATCCCATTCTTGGTCCTTCGCTCTGCACTTTCTGCTGCGGCTGCACAAAAATTCTCCACAGTCTGAGCCTGAGCTGGCTGTGTGTAAACAAGACTCGGCAAGGACTTTGTTTGCCAGGACGACGGGGGCGTTTCGACTTTGGCATGTGGCCAGGAGTAGACTTTGCAACTTTTCGGCCTGGGTCAACTGCGACCGGGCCTAATGAAAACTTCAAATAGCTTCGGGTTGACTTTGTCCCACTTCCTCATCCAAAATGCAGCTTGCCAATTGCCATCCCCACTTAATCTAATTATAGTTAAATAAGCAATTTTCTAGGAGAGAACCCCTCGAAACGGTTCCCATTTATTCCGCCTGTCAGGTGGGGAAAGGCAGCTGAAAAAGAATCAGCCGCATGCGGGTTCACACCCAGGAACTCCTTGGAAAACCCCATTCGTGGGAACCACTGGCGCGTTGTCAGCTGCATGTGTGTGGGCTTGGGAGGCAATAATTTTCACAGCCACGGCCCCCTGCACTGGGGTTCGCAGAAGTCATAGACGGTTAGCTTTCGCTGCCACAATTGTTTTGCCAGGTACAACAACGGCCATCAGCGACAACAACGTGCCACACTCGGCGCTTTTCTCGGAACTCGGTCCTAGATATATGTGTGCGGGTCTATAAAGCAGCCAGATAATCGCCCAGCATGTTCGAATTCCATTTGGGGTTGCTCCGGCCCATTCGTTCTGTTCCGCTTTTTGTTCGCCTCCTTTGTTTCGGCGATGTATATTACTTTTTCTACTTGGCATTTCATTTAGATTAACATTTTTGGGACGCAGCCCTCACACCTGATTTAAAGACCGGCTTAAAGTTCGCCCGAAGAGGGAGTTATGGAAAAGTCATCAGCCGTTTCTGGAGCATTCAAATTTCGTTTCAGTCGCTTTTTTGCCACACGATTGAATGGCAGCCAACCCATAGTGAAAACATAGCCACATCAGTGTGAGAGTGTGTGCTCCAGAGCCCGATATACAGATGTTCCACTTGCAATCCGCACTCCGCACTCCGCCCTTCGCCCTCCGTCTCCTTTGGCTGCAATTTATTCCACGGGCTTTGCGGTTGTTTAGAGCCTGAAAAGTTTCCCTTTACAGCAGTTTACGAGAGTGAAAGTGGAGCAAAAGCGGAAGAGTTGCAGCTCAATTCCCATTCGCTGTCGCGCTCACTTTGGGGAAAATGGTTTTGAGGGAAGGCCGATTGGGGCGTTTTCCATTAAAGCAACTGTCAGCCATCATAAGCTCTAAGTACAAATCGCATTTCGTGGCTGCCCACGATGATTTTTCTCAATTGAAATCATTGACGCTGTAACAACAAAAGGCACTTCATGTTGACATTTTGATTTTGTGCCCCAAATGGAAAGCAGAAAATGCTCTTCAATCCGACGGGCCAGGGCTTTGTCTTTTTTTTCCCGCACACAATTCCGCTGAGAGCAGTACAGAGACCAACAGCTAGCTGAAGGTACCACGGGGCGTATGAGTCGCGCGATGCCCGACTGCCTTTTATATGGCATAACAAAAGCTTATCGCCAGCATAATAGAGACACGCGTCTGTGTAATAAAGTAGAGAACAGCCTCAGTCCTCACACTCGTACACTGTACAGACAAACGTGCACTTGGACGTTATCATTAACATTATTATTATTATCATTGTTACGGAAGGAGAAAGAAGACTTGGCTTTGTGTGCTAGCAACTTAAGGGACTTTTTGTCCGCCCTTCCTTCTTTTTTATTTCGCAGAACTCAAAGCGGAAATCTTCGGGCCCAGCGATCTGATGGTTAAAACCGGCAGCGACATCAACCTTACCTGTAAAATTATGCAGGGACCCCACGAGCTGGGCAACATATTCTGGTACAAAGGTGCGTATGCGTAATGAACTCGGCCTGCACCTTGCCCCATTTGCCGCACCTCATTTACGCGATTCAATTTGCTACTCTTCACATTCCAGGCGGCGAAATGCTCGATGGCAAGAGTGAGAACGAAATCGACAGCTCCATGGCCCGGATTCGCGTCGAGGATGATTGGACTGACGGCCTGACTTCGAGGTATGTAACGACTCACCCATCATTTCGCCATACCATTCCGCCTGGCAATCGTGCAAATGTGTGCCGAGCATTTCAGTTATTTCGCATTAAAATACCGCCTCACTTAATTAAGGCCAGGTACATACCAATCGGGGTGGGGCGTTTAAAGCCTCGCAGCCTGCACTTGCCAGCCATGTCCTTACCAGCCGGCTGGGGCAACACGGACCCCGACTTTGAATGACATTTTAAGGCCAAAGCGAAGGACGAGTGTCGACTGGAGGACCCTCTGGCGTTCTAGAACTGAGCAGAATCGAGGGGTGGATTATACAGGATTCGGGTTTTCCTTTAGTTAGAAAACCCGAATCCTGTATAATATATAACTAGCCGAATTAGTCGTCAGCACAGACTAATTATAACATTTTGTACTTAGTTTGGTTACTTATATAGAGCAAAATATTTAGAACATCGGTAACCGGTGATGATATTTTAATACTTATTGGGAAAGAAAAGTTAGCAAAATATTAATGATTAAAAAATATCAAAAGGCATAGTTTTTGGAGCTTAAGAAAGGTCAAGGTTTTTAGAAATCACACAATACATAATGCGAATAAAAGGTACAGACCACAAAATCCATGTTCTACTATTTATATCTCTTAGTGAACAACAACTTTGCTTTGTAATTTAGTTAACGTTCTGAATAGTCTGTCTTATGGTCTGATAATTAAATTATTATTGTGCAAAGTAAAATACATATTTGTAATTTTCTATTGAGGGCACATTCTTCTACAAATTAAGCTGTGCTTCTTGAAGTAGGGTATCATATGGTTCTGGTGCTCCTTTCTTCCGTTCCGTCACTCCACTGTGTGCTCCGGCTAGCCGTGTGTGACTTTTAATTTGGCTTAGTCAAAGTCAGAGCTAAGTCACAGCCGGATTTGTATTCGGAGTCTGAGGCTGCAGTAGTTAGTTGCTCAGTTTCTGGTGCCGCCACGTGATCATTGCCCATTTGTGCTGTTAACTAACGACGCAGACGACCATAAAATGCAGGTGCCGCTGACAGAGATGAAAAGAGAGTGGCTTTTACCAGGGATTAGTAAACTCCCCTGCAAAAAAACCAATTGAAAACCACTGAAATAAAAGCAGTGTTATAGCTTTCCCCAAAAATAAATAAATTTTGTAAATAATTTAAAACACTATTTACAATTTTTCTAAGATCAGTAATCTGAATTTGATAAATGAAAATTATAGAATTATACCAATAATTATCTTTCAATAAATTAAAATCCTTAGAAACTATAGGAGTTTCTATTTCATACTAAAAACAATGTTTTGGAAATTGTATACGAATTAAAAAACACAAAAGTAGAAAAAAGGAAAAATCTTAAGCAAAACTAATTTCTTAAAATATTTATTTATGTTTGCTTGCTTTAAAAGCCACAAAGTCTGTACTGGGTTTAAAAGCTCTGAAGAAGAAATTAAAAACAGCAAAAGTAATATTATTAAATTTAAGTGAATACGTTTTTGTCTGAGTGCAAAGAAACTTCGAATAATAGTCAGTGGAGGAGGGAGCTCGGTACACATTATGCTATCGCATAAAGTAGCAAAAGTTTTGTATTTTTTCTTGATGTTTTTGCCCGGCATTCTGTAGCCTTTTCCCTTTTTGCCTTTTGCCTTTGTTCCCATGCATTTCTCCACCGCCATTCACTTTCTCCCTGCTTTCTTTCCCGGTACTCCGCTACTCCGGTACTCCGGCACAGATTAAAAATCAAGCGCGCCATGCCCGGCGATACTGGCAACTACACCTGTATGCCGACGGTGGCAAAAACCTCGAGCGTCTACGTGCACGTAATTATCGGTAAGTAAGGACTACGGCGGCGGGCTTTCCCGTGCTGGTTCTGGCGCTTGTGCTGTCAGAGAGTTTTGCATGTTTATGACGGGAAGTGGAAGTTGCCTGTTAGCAGCGGCACATTCGCAATTTGTAATGCCAAGTGCAAAACGGGGCGTGGCCATGTAGTAATTGCATTGCAGCAGACTCGGCGAGAAATTGCTGCTCGCCTTTTTTCCTTTTTTTTTTTCCTTTTACCTCCCTCGCATGTTTGTATTTGTGCAGCAGCACGGAAATTATTTCTAGTTGCCGCTGCAGCTAGAAAGTTTGCTGCAGGCCAATAACACAGGCCATGTGTGCGGGGGGTGGGAAGTCAGGGGGTAGGGGGTAGGGGGGTAGGGGGGCTCGAGGAGCTTGTCAGATTTATGGCAGCAGCTTGTGGGCTCAAGAGCTCATCGAGAACTATAACAACTTGAGCTGCCGATGTTTTTCTTTGGCACAAACAGCAAATGCATGCATGCAAACTGAAGGCGATGTTATCTGCCGAAGAAAAGCCAACTCAAAGGCAATCAGTGGTAGCTAGTATCTGCTTTTAGTCCTGTTCGACAGCCAAGTAATTTTCCGATGAACTAACAGGGCTTTTGCTTTCAATTGTTTCGATTCCTGTTAATTTCCGGTGGGGTTCAAAATACCTTCCCTCATATAATAAAGAAAAATTATGAGGTTTTGTTAAATAATATAATGCACAAGCGCATTACTTAAAAATAATTAGTTCTTGCAAAACTTATTAATGTTAGAAAATTAATAAATCAAAAACTGCTTCTTGGCGTTTCTACAATCCTTGAAAAATATATTTTTAGCCATTGCCTTGTAGATGGTTTATTTTAAGAAGACAATATTTTTGCACATGTGTCCTTTATATGTAACTTTAAGTTAATTTTTCTATATTTTGGGCCATGGATTGGTAATGATTCCGTACTCCACCCAGAATCACCAAACCTCTTAGATGACTAGGTATTAAATGAAAAGGAGGAAAACTTATAACAATTAAAAATATTTTAAAACATATCTTGAGAATTAATAAAATAAAAAAAAATTTAAAAATCGATTTACAATACTTTAACTTTCAGGTAAAGCTGTACCCTCCATATATTTTTTTATTTTCCTTTTAAAGAAAGTTTTTTCGTTTATTCCAAATCGGTTTTTAATTTAAGAGCCTATTTTTTTAATGAGAAACCAAGAAGTGCAAAGAGGTCGAAGATCGATCGCCATCCCTAATTGCCTGTTTGCTTTCGCTTTTTAACAGGCGAACACCCGGCGGCCATGCAACACAACTCGAGCAGCAACAGCAACAGCTTCTACTGCGGCATATGCTGCATGCTGCTGAGCATTGTGTCCTGCTGCCTGCAGCACTTCTACGAGGCAGGGTGTGGATATATTCATGTTGCGGCAGCGTCGGCCAAATCGGCGGGACTGCGGCCCCCGAAGCGAGCATCGCTAACGACCAGCGAAAAAGGAGAAGCTGCAGCAGGAGCAGCAACAGCCACAGCAACAGCGGCAACATACACATCAGCAACGTGCAACATGTTGAGAGAACGCCCAGCGGCAACTCGGTGTTTGAGATGAAGGAATAATCAACACGCAGCGAAACACTAAAAAGGCAAAACACACACCGTCACACACACAAACCACTCACACACATACACATGTTCAAGGTGATTTAAGTTTTCTATGTATCGCATGGGGGGTTCAACCATAAGTATTTACTAACTTCTAAGATTAATGCACTTAGTGGAAAAGCAAACATATTATCTGATAAGTGAACAAGTATTAACAGTGTTAAAAGAGGATGCTAAACCATGGAAAACTGATAGCAAGTCCCAATAAAACCTATGCATTTTCGTGGAAAATCATAATATAGTTAAATGTTTTCATGCAAACCCTATTTAAGAGTTGTATTTATTCATTTTGAGCAATTCTTTTTTGATTTTTTTCTAGTCAACTGTCAACCGAAAAAATCTAAATTTTTTGATTATCACTTTCTGGACTGCCTGAAAATAGCATTGGTTAAAAATAATTGATCCAAAAAGTTACAAAGACAATCGATAGCCGAAAATAACACCGAGATCAGAGATATAAAACTATCAGTTATCTCTTTTTGCTACCGAACATCGATTGCACACCCATAGCTAGATACACACCCTTTCATTATGAAATAAGACTAACTAGCTATTAATATTCCTAACAGCCCAAATTACAACATGAAACCCAGTTCTTTGGAATCACAATACCCTACTTCTATGCAATCTCTAATTGCCAACAAATGCGCACTCCAGTAGCCGATTGCATAAGTTGTTGGATTCAAATTTGCTGTATATAATTGCCATTCGAGAGAAATTTATTCAAGAGTACTTCGAACTATTTGTAAACTGGCCGATTTAGAACAAAAGATGTTTTTGCGTTCGAGTAGAGCTGATTGGCTTTGCACACTTATCAGTTCTAGGCATAAGCTAGGGTTAAGTACGATTATGAATGTATGAATAGCAAATAAGCGGATAAACTACAGTAGTGGATACTTGATTTCATCCGCCAGCAGTCGAAAGTTATGGATAAAACCTTGTTTATGTCTGACCCAATTGTGGGCGAAGCTCGTTTAAGTGTAAATAATTAGTTTTGGATAGAAACAAAAAACAAAAATAAAACAAAAAACAAAAAACAAAAGAGGGGAAATTTGAAATAAATGCAATTTATAATTGTGCTTATCGATATAATTGATACGAATGCAATGCGAATGTGCAGGCACTGTAAATAAATTCATTAGTAGACGAAATTGTAATTTTAATTAACTCTTAAATGATATAAACAGATAAAAGCGACAAATGCGATCCGATAGATGCGCATCGCCCTAGTTGGTAAGCCGCGCACTGAGGCAAAATTGGCATAACTCACATGCAGAACTAAATTAACTAAAAAACACGAAACATAACACAACTTTAAATAATAGTAAAAAGCTAGATAAATTTAATACGGTCTATCCCAGAGCCCGCATCTTGTAAATAGAGTGAATGGATATTACATTAACCTTAGCAAGCTAAATCCGAACAGAAACGCCGAAAAGCGTCGGATTCGAGTGGATTGGAGAGTCAAGAATAAAAGTCGGTCCCCGATCAAAAACAATAACGAATCCCTAGCAAATACATTATGTACGAGTGTCACAGCATTGCAGCTACAAGTATATACATATATAAACCAGGTACTCTCAAATCATTTTTATGTGTGCGTATCCATAGGTACCCTACATATGCATATACAGATAGGATTGTTGAAAAGCGACAACAAACACACGGACACTGCAGGCGAGAGTTTTGTGAAATGAAACCAAATCGATTCAATAAAATTATTATTTAGAAAATTTAAGCAGCGATTCGAATTATTTATGGGTGAGGTGGACTAAAATATTTGCAGTTTTGGGACCTGGTATTTCCGAAACTAATCTAATCTTATTCTCAACTCAACAATATTATCTCTCGTAAGATTTCTCAAACTTTTAACAATACCATAACAATCTGACAACACATTTGGCAGCTTGTTTTTAGTGGGAATGAAATAAATAGAATTGGAAGACAAAAATTAAAATATATATAATATTTTTTTTGTTTTTATTCACCCTCACTTAAGCCACACACACTTTACTCATTCAGTGATTTCGGTTGAAAAACCTGTTCGACATAGCTAGTCTAGGAATACCCGTAATGCGTTCATTGACTCTACTTGGTGATGTCTGGGAAACCATAAAAAGGTGGCTAAATTTATTCAAATTGATTCACTGGTGCGATGTTGTCGAAAAAGATGATGCTGATGTTATGTGCTTAGTCCCATATTTATTTAATTGCAATTCATCTCCTAATTTTGTGGTTCTTTTGTACCGTTGGATTCTTTTCGCCTTGCCATTAATTCTAGCGAAAAGTATAAATAAAACTTGAGCCGAGTGGACCCATTTTAGTCCAATTTTGTCAAGGTCTAAGAACATGTTGCAGCTGTCAGTGGCCCTGCTGCTTTTTCTGGCTCTTTTTGCCAGCCTAGAGACAGGTGTGTGTTTAATCGGCAGATGCTGTTCATCCATTTAGCAAACTCATAACAAATCATATACCCCACAGCACCTTCTCCATCACCCAAGCAAGAAAAACTGGTGCGAGTGTACGAAATCAATGAGGCGCAGTACGAGCGGGTCTTGCATCTGACCGAGGGCAAGAATGTCATATCGGAAGCTAGGCTGATCAACGGAGGCTTTGCCACCGTAAGCGATACCCTAAGTTCCGGCTGGAACTCTCTTCTTCGGATCGTGGGCCTCACCACACTTAGCAGGAACGAAGAGGCCGAGAAGGTGGAATTTGACGGTCAACCTTTGTGTGTGATCAAAACACGAGAGGGCGAAGGCAGGGATGAGGAGGTGACCTCCGAGGATATGACCTCCGCTCGCAGCTCGGAAAAAGCCATTGAGGTCGACGAGGAAGACTCCGACATTCACTGCATAGTGGTGCTGAAGAAAGACAGCGAGTTCGAGCTGCCCAGCCAGGATCCTCACCCCAATTACGCCCAATATTGGAGCAAACCTCAGATTCCTGAACCTGAGGAGGCATCCGCTGTGCAGAATCAGTCTGAAGAGGTGGTGGAGACAGAAGAGTCGGTCGAGGCCACCACACCTGCCCCTTTAAAGAAGAAGAAGGTGAACAAGAGCACCTACCCGAAAGCAGCCAGTTTGAAGAATGACTCCGTTGGTTCCCGCCAATATCAGGGCGGTTACTCACCAGTGCCACCCCAATATGGACCTTCTTATCCACCACCCCCTTATGGTGGCAATCCCTACAGTTCCTATCCCATTCCTCAGCTTTATCCGAACCCGCAGCAGTATGTTCCTCAAGTTCCCTATATACCACCCCAATATGGACAGTCGCCTTATGGACAACCGCCTTTTGGACAGCCGCCTTATGGACAGCCGCCTTATGGACCCTACCCACAACAACAATATGGTCCTCAACCTCCCATTGGCCCCTACAATCCTCAGCAGAACTATGGACCTTATGGATTTCCCAACTGGGATCTGATCCAAACGGGTCAAGCAACTGCCATCAAGGATGTGGAGAAAGCTCAGGCTGATGATGACCAGGAGGAAGACGAGGACTCCTACGAATCAGAAGATGAATATGACTATCGCTATAAGAAACGTTTGTACTCGTACAAACCTGTGTACCCTAACGAACCCTATTACTATTAAAAATAAAGAATTTATAAACATGAATTTAACCGTTATATTTATTTAATGTTAGTTTGGAAAGATAGAAAGCAATGAATTATCTGTTCATATCCTAGTTATTTCTGGGTTGAACTCTGCAATCAAAGTTGATCTTTGAAAGTTTGTCAGGGAGAAAAACTGTGATGGATCCGTAGTCTAGAGTGAGACTAAATGCCCTGGACGATAGCTCTCTGTGGAGAGCTAAGTTATAAGCAATAACGTTATCATCCAATCAGCGAAACTAAAGTGGCAGATCGTGTTTTGGCCAAAGAGCCATTAAAAACGAGTATGGGCAGGGCGGTGATCAGAGAGAACTGGGTCAACACGTAATTTATGTAGATTATAGTCGATTAGGGCGCATACATAACTGTAGATGAGAAGTTCGGGTTGATCCATTTGAATGACAATGCCGAAAGAGAATTTGGGTTCGTCAAGTCATCAAGTTAACGGCAGAGAAAGACTTTCAATATATATAAGCAAGGGAGCAGTGCTAGTTGAGCTTATTCGCAATCGCCATGAAGTTCTTACCAGTTCTGGCAGTGATCGTGCTCTGCACAGCGGCCGTCCAAGCTGGTGAGGTGTCTAAGGCTTAGTCCTAAGGAAAGGGAAGCTAATGATCATCTCTTTATGACAGGCACGGGTCGTCCTCAGCTGGTGCGTCTGCACCAGGTGACTCGGCAGGAGTACGACGAGCTCCTCCGGCTCACCCAGGGAAAGGAAGAGGTTTCGGAGGCCCGACTGCTCAGCAGCTCGATTGCCGGCATCAAGGGCTTGGCCTCTGGCTTCGCGGCTGGCAACTTCATCCCCGCCATCTTCAGTTCCGGTTCCAAGGATCAGCCCAAGAAGGGAAATCCCCTGTGCGTGGTCACCACCAATAATCTGGATCAGGATGAGGAAAGACGCTTGGGTCGTGTGGTGAGCATCGAGTATGAGCCAAATTCCGACTCCAGCTCAGGATCGGGATCCTCTTCGGGCAGTGGAAGTGGTCATGGAAGTGGACATGGAAGTGGACATGGAAGTGGCAGTGGACATGGAAGTGGACATGGCAGTGGCAGTGGAAGTGGTCATGGCAGTGGACATGGCAGTGGCCATGGAAGCGGTCACGGAAGTGGAAGCGATGAAGATGACGACAATTATGATGTGTCTACTGTCAACTGCATCGTCATTGTCAACGGCACCGAACACTCAACCAAGCCTAAGCCAAAGCCAGATCACGGACACGGTCACGGTAGCGGTAGCAGTAACGGACACGGAAGCGGACACGGTAGCGGACATGGTAGCGGACATGGACATGGATATGGACCCAAGCCACCCTCAGGCTATTACCCACCACCACCGTTCTACCCCCCTTACTATGGCTACCCCCCGCCCTACCCCTACCCCCCCCTTCCCCTACCCACCACCACCTCCACCACCACCTAAGCCCCACAGTTCCAGCGGAGACAAGCGATCGGTCGATGAGGACGAAGTGGAGGTGGGTCGTCTGATCGATGCCTACAATGGATTGTACTACCAGCCCGAGGTTTTCAGTCTGAGGAGCGGAAAGCAGGACAACTCCGCTTACCAGCCGGCCAGCTATCCCCAGCAGGAGTACGCCTCCACCTATCCCAAGGTCATTCGCAACTACGGACTGACCCATCCTGCTCCCGTCTACGTGCGATCACCCCAATTCGAACAGGAAAACTAGGGAAACCATGCACTACACAAATTAACTTATACATGAAATAAATAAAATTATTATTTATAAACATATATTTGAAGACTTTATTCGAAATCATATAGTCCGTGTCTTGCAATTGAATTATTATTATTTGTATAATAAGGAAAAGAAGGGAGGTAAGTTACTTGGATAGATAAAACATTATTTTAATTGAATCCAGTTAAACCCGTATGTCAAAGCATGTACAATACATTTTTCAGCCGACGAGGAACTCCTCGCAGATAGTCGAGTGAAGCAGAGAGCCATCAAACGCAGACCCATGTGCCTTCATAATTGGACTTGGAATTGAGTGGCAGAATCGCTCATTTATTGCATGTTTGTGTTAGATGGCATACGCCATTGGATGTGTGTTTGTCCGCGTGCGTGTGAGCGTGCGTGTTTGATCAAAAGTGTTACAAGGTCCTGCCACTAACAATGCCAGAAAGAAACGTTGATCTAGGCAGCACAACAGAGCCACCATGTAAACAAGCAGGATTACACTTTCCCTTGCCACACACACTGGCGCATTTATACCCACGCACACACACACACACACAGAAGAGTATTGAGGGAGAGCGACAATTGAAAGTGTAACACATCGTTGCCTTTTGTAGAGCTGCTGTTGCCTCTTTACTGCAGTTGCACTGCGAAAAATATATAGCTATTTGGATAATCATAAAAATGGGTAATATATTGTCTTAAGTTTCGAATATGTATCAACCAACAATAAATATTACCTGCTCCCTTCGGAGACTTGAAAACTTTATTGATGATCTACAAATACAAATTTAAGCTTATTAATAAAGTTTTTAAATCTCTTACAATTTTCTTAAGATCGAAAACAAGACCAATTTATTCGAATTAAAAAAAGGCAAATTTAAGCTCCCAGTACTTTTTTTAGAAATAAAAAATTTTGATTTTAATGTGGCAGTAGTTGTTAAAGAACAAGTTAAACTATCAACTATTACAATGTGATAAATAAATGTATTAGCAAACTGTCTAGAAATACCTCGAGTACATGAAAAACTTTCGATACATTTTTTTTGAGAATTTGTTTAATTTTCAGCTAAAATTGGACTTTTTAACTTAAAAAATTTTTTTTTTAGGTTATCCCTGTATTATCAAAAGTATCCCTGATATACTTTAAAAATGTTTATGATTAAAAAATATATATTTGAGTTACGTTATTAAGAAATATATATGGTAGAAGATAAAATCTGTTGGTAAGAGTATTCTGCAGTGTAAAAACTGATACTGACACACAGTCATGTGCTGGCGAAGGACAACTAACGCACAGGCATAAAAGAGAATAAATTAAAGAACAACTCAAAATAACCGCGGGGCAATTGGCAGTGGTGCATCGCATGAGGGCGGGACGGCCGGCGTGGGCGTGGGCGTGGCGATCTGAACGCCCGTTTGCCGTTAAGTGCAAGTGCATCGATGCCAGGAGGCGGTATGTAAGTGCGAGCGAGAGGGAGCGAGGGACGGTCGCCTTTGGCCTCATTGCGTTTTTAGCAGCGCCCGCCACGCCACTACCACCGACACCGCCTACGCCCAACCGTTTTCCACGCCATGGCAGTGTTGTGTCTATGCACTGCAAAATAATTACTTTCATATCCTGCGGCAATTAAATTCATTTAGCTTGCCACCAATCTCCCCGTTTGCCCTGATTAAGACATTCATTCCGCTCCGCATTCAACGGCTCACGCTTGTGGCTGTTGAACCCAATTCCCACCCCCGGAAAAAACCCCTTTTCGGCCACTTCACCCACTCCCCAAAACCCCCTGTTGAAGCTTTCGTCTGACCAAGAAACTCTAAACTATGTCAACTGTTAACTTTTCCTTTCTATTTTTGCTATTTGTTGCGCTCGTTGTTTTTGCAGCCGCTGGCATTCCGCTTCTATGGCCTGCATGCTTTTCAAGGACTCTACATAGTTTATCCAGCAACATCAAGCACACCCACACACACACATAAGCACACCATATGGGAGGGAAAAGCTTGTAACTGCCATTTTGGACATGGCTGAGTTGAATGTAAGCAAATTGCGGAGAGCACTACAAGTCTGCTGTCCGCACAGAGACAAAAAATTGAATTGCCCAAAAATTGCTGCTCTCAAAAAAGGCAATAAGTGTGGCCAAGGAAGTCATCAACGCCAGAGGAAAACGGATTGATGGAATTAAGTGATTAGTTTTAGCTAAAAGCAAAAGTTAATTTGGGTGAACATATAAGAACAACACTTGTGGTTTTCGAGTAAACAGAAATGATACTACAATAATGGAAATTTGACAGCAAAAAATTTTAGAATTGTAACTAATTAGAGCTTTGCTTTTCAAAATTTCATGTATCAATTTTATCATTTATTTTGTTTTATTTATTATTACGTAATATTTTTTTCGAAAATTGCTAAATGTTTACGTTATAAGCCTAAAGCATATTAATTGCTCTCGAAAAATTTAATTTAAAAATGTATTTTTCTCCTTGGCCTACATTTGTAACTTTGGGCTTACCTAATTGCTTAAAGAGAGATGTGAGAGTTAAACAAGGCTTTTATGAATTTCTAAGGACACATTAGTGGCATGGTATTAAACGCCATTAGAGGAATTGCTCATTCAGTGGTCCTTAAGTAAAACTGTTAGATTAAACACTTGAGTGTATTTGGTTTTTGATTTTCTTAAATGTTTATTGCATTGAAGAAGATAAATTAGATCTTGAATAATTTCTGGAGGCAAAAGTCAAGGAACCATTCAGTGCGCACGTCAGCAGCATCATTGCAAACACCGTCGTAATCGTCTTCATCGTGTAAATGTCAATTTAACGGAATATTAATGCAGGCACGCCATTGCAAAGAACCACCCACGCACACTGTCTCAGACGGCCTTACACATATACATATGTCTCTGATATATCAACGGAAGTGCGCACACAAGTGCACGCTCGAGTGCCATTTTGTTAAGGCGCAAAAATTGATAAGTGCCTTGTGGTTATTGCGGTCTTTGGTGGCCATTAACCAACCGAAGGGGCGGGGCCTTACTCAAAGGTGCCTACTGTGTACACTGTACCCGCACACAAGGATAATAAAATGTGTACAATAAGAGGCTGTAGAAGCAGGAGTTTGCACGTCAATCAAACATGGCGTCAAATAGTCATTAACAAACGCTCGCACACACACGCACAAACAATGGTGTGATTTTTCAGGAGTGGGCTTGTAAGGATGTGTGTCCTTGTGTCGGCTGTCATGTAGTTGTACTGGCATCGGTTTTGCTTCCCGTTGATTTGGTGGCTCATCTGATTTGCGGTTGCCGATGCTTCGAGAGCAGCCACTCCGAAAGGCTTTGTTAAGGAATTTAAGTATGGAAATCCATTTTAAGTCTTAAAATTGGCAGTTTTGTTTAATTAAGGTATTGATAATCGTAATTGAATTTTCCATTAACAAGATTTAATCATTATAGGGAATATATACACACGTATTCCACGTATTCGGGTCGTGGATTCCCTATTTAGTATTCCTACAAAGCTATCATTATAGTTATTCATTAAACGGGCAAAACAACTCTACATGTGAATATCATTGAATATAGTATAGAATATTTATGATTGTGAAATGTAAAGCATTCTATTCGAAATTCCATCTATCGACTAAAAGATTGCAAGCCACTATAGCTTACTCCTCAAAAAAGACTGCTGAAATAAATTAGGTTCGAAAAAAAATTTCAAAGTTTCTTCCTGTCTCCGTTATTGTAAGAGCTAAGAGTTTGTATACAAACTTAAAAAAAATGCTAAAGACTTTATGTTCTACAAGAGAAAGCACACTTTTTGTGCCTGCACGCCTGCCACTGGCATTTAATAATCTGTTGTCAACTTGTGCTAACTGAAAGCCCAGAACGGCAATTTGGCTTCAATGTACACCCTACCATACCCTCACCTGTTTTTTCCACCTTCGAGTTGGAGACCTGAATCGTATGTTCGCAGCACTAACGAGCTGTGATTTTTCTTGCCATCAGCAGCGGCTGAATGGAGTGACTGCAAGTCAATGCGATTGGCGTCAATTAAGTGCCATAAGCGACACAACAAGCCGTCAGTCAGTCCGTCCGTCCGTCAGTCAGTCAGTCCGCCATCCGGCCGGAGTTTAACGCTCTTCAGCTCACTCCGGCTTAGTTGGGCCCCGCTTTTGACACAGTTTCGCAGGAGAACAGCAGCAGCAGCAGCAGCAGATTGATTGGCGCCACTCAATTGGCAACCTTTTTGGCCTGGTCTGGCCTGGTCTCGTCTCCCGGCTTTGGTTTACCGATGACTTCATGTGCAGCATCGTTACACGCATCGCTTACCATCCATCGGCGTGCTTTTTTCTCCGACAAGCGATTAGAATAAATTGCAACATGCTGGCAAAACGACAGGCCTCCAGATTGGGTGTTCGATGGGTTCCGGTTCTGGGAATTGGTATAGGCATTGGTAGTGGTATTGGTATTGGTATCGAGCTCAACGTTATGCATTTGACACGAGTGCCGATTTCTGCTTCAATAATTTCCCCAATATCTCAATGTGTATCTCGAAAGTTCTCGAGCCTCGAGTGCGTCTGTGTGGACGGGTGAGTGTAATCAATTTTAGTGGCAACGCAAAGTTTTTCAATGCGCTGCCATTCAATTAAAAATTTGTGCAGAACTTTATTTTTCTGTTAAGTGGCAATCTACATGCATTCCCCACTCTTCGCCATAAGCTCCTATATGTACATATATAAATTTGTGTGGGCTGGGTTTATTTTGTTGGCTGCATCGCGCGCACATCTGTAAATACAACTATAAATGGCTTTGAAGAGTTTCCCTTTTTGGCTTTCTTTTTTATGGTTTTGTTTGGGTTGATTTATGTGCACATGCCAGTCAAATTGATGAATTGCCTTTGAAAGACGATCAAATAAAATCAGAAGCGAAGCGAAAGGGGCAAAAGACCCGCCTTACAAGTTGTGCGATAAATTTTAGTAGCTTAATTGGAATGCTGG